ACTCTGGGCCTGGGCACTGTCCCTCAGCTCTTCAGCTCAAGGCTAGTGCTCTACCACTTGAGCCACAGCACCACTTCCAGTATTTTTCTTTTTGCTTATGTGGTGCTGAGGAATCGAACCCAGGGCTTCATGCATGCAAGGCAAGCACTCTACCACTGAGCCACCTTCCCAGCCCCTTAAACTGAAGCTTTTGACTCTTTGAAGGTCTCATATTCTTTTCATAATAATATTAAATGTGTTAAAAGTTACATAATGCCAAAGTGAAGGTTAAATTCCAATTTAAGCTGGGTCATGCCTGTAATCCTAGCTACTCAGCAGGCTGAGATCTGAGCATCATGGTTTGAAACCAGCCTAGGCAGTTGCATCTGATAAAAGTGGGTATCAGCAGCTTAAATAAAAATGGGTGTGTGACTTTTTATTTTTGTGACTTTTTCCCCTTGTGTTTGAAGTTTATTGAAATGGAATTTCAAGCAGTAGTGATGGCAGCTGGTGGGGGATCACGGATGACAGACCTGACTTCCAGCATTCCCAAGCCTCTGCTTCCAGTTGGGAACAAACCTTTAATTTGGTACCCATTGAATCTGCTTGAGCGTGTTGGATTTGAAGGTGAGTTATGACAGTGAGTGAGATTCACCTATAAAACTTTTAGTGTGTTTAAGCCCAATGACTTGTCAGCATTATGAGGGCAAGACAGGATGAATGATAGAAGACTAGGACTTAAAGTTTTAAGACTAGGACTTAAAGACTAGCCTCTTTAAGTTAGGAACATAGAAAGTCTCTATCTGTTGCTGTATGAAAAAGGTTGAGAAGATAGAGCTGATCTCCACAGTGATCCAAAATAAACCTTGTAAGGATATCACAAAGAGCAGATAGGGAGTCTTAAGTGCCTAATGGCTTTTACTTCCTAAGAATCTGTTTTATGCCAGGTAATACATTAAGCATACTGATGAGTACAGAATTGAAAAGATAGCTCAGGCCAGAACTTTAAAGATAGCTCAGACTTCTATAACTTTAAAGTCTGCTGGGAAGAGTTCTATTTTTGCTTGCATGACTAGATTTGTGATGATGCCACTAAATAGGAAAAGGAATGTGAGATATGTAATAGATTTGAATAAACAAAATGAATTTAGTTTTGGCCACCTTGAGTTTGAGGCGTGCTAGTGTCAGGTGGAACAAATTAGAATATTACTGAGATGTAACAGATTAGAGTGCCAGATCTTGGGGCCCAGTCACGTTGTGATTCAGTGTTGATTCCTGTTGCCTTCCTGAATCAGACTCATAAACATTTCTATGTGGTTGACTACATGACACTACTGTTAAGAAATAGGCTTGAGAAGTTTTTAGAGTCTAATCTCACAACAAAGGAGATTGTAATACACCTTAATACACTGAAGATGGGGGCACATGCTGGTAATTCTAGCTCTTCAGAAAGCTGAAGTAAGATTTCAAGTTCAGGGACAGACTGGAGAACATAGCAAGACCCTGACTATAAAAACAAAGTAAGGGCTGGGAAGTTGGCTCAGTGGTAGAGTGCGTGCCTCGCATGCATGAGGCCCTGGGTTTGATGCCTCAGCACCATATAAGTCAGAAGTGGTGCTGTGGCTCAAGTGGTAGGGCGCTAGCTTTGAGCTAAAGAGCTGAGGAATGACGCTCAGGCCGAGTTCAGCCCCCATTACTGACCCAAAAATATAAAAATAAAGTAAAAGTGTATGTGTGGCAATACTAGAATTTGAGCTTAGAGCCTCATATTTTGCTAGGCAAGCATGGTACCACTTAGGTTATGTCCCCAGCCATTTAGTAACTCTATATGGATTTGTCATCTATAGTGATTTTGCTCTTTTACTTTGTGTATTTGTGTGCGTGTGAGCGTGCATGTGTACTTGTGCTCCTTCTGTGGCTTGAACTCAGGGCCTGGGCACTATCCCTAAGGTTTTGTGATCAAGGCTAGCCCTCTACCTACCACTCTTGAGCCATAGCTCCTCAGTTCTCAGCCTTCCGAGTAGCTAGGATTACAGTCATGAGCCACTGGTTCCTGGCCTAATCTTTTACTTTTATCACATCATCTTTAGTTAATACTGGGAGTGGCCTTTTATGGTACATTTAATATCTACTACCTAGAACTTTCTTTCTTTCTTTTTTGGTTGTGGGGCTTGAACTCTAGGTCTAGGTGCTGTCTCTGAGCTCTTCAGCTCAAGGCTAGCACTCAACCTCTTGAGCCACAGCACCACTTCCAGTTTTCTGGTGGGTAATTGGAGATAAGAGTCTCACGGACTGTCCTGCCTGTGCTGGCTTTGAACCACAATCCTCAGATCTCAGCCTCTTGGGTGGCTAGGATTACAAGCGTGAGCCACCAGTGCCCAGCAGCACATTCTTTCTTGCTGAGGTTCAATCAGAATTTGAGGAGTACTTCTAGATGTAAGTTTCTGAACTTTAATAGCTAGGCCTATAATTATTTCTTTTTAGAATGTTTATTATTATCAGTGTTTTATATATATATATAAAACTTTCCAGGCTGGTTTTAAACTTAACCTCTGGCTTTAACCTCCTGAGTAGCTGGAATTATAGATGTGATCCCACTACCTGATGAAAGTAAACCTGGTTGACCTTCAACTCACTATATAGCCCATGCTGGCCTTGAACTCAAAATTTTTGTGCCTCAACCTCAGGAGTAGATAGGATTGTAGGCATGCATCACTGTGTCCACCAAACAGTGTTAATGGCCACGTCTTTTGTGCTTCCAGAATACTTTGTTACTCTGTCTTAGCACTTCTTTCTAGGACTACTTTCTACCGCACCTAATGCTGTGGGAGATTGTGTAATCTTTCTAAGAGCAGATACTAAATCTAACTCATCATGTCAGCTTTACATGTCACAATATGGACAAGAAATTTTTGTTGGAGCTGGGTGCTGGTAGCTCATGCCTGTAATCCTAACTACATAAGAGACTAAGATCTGAGGATCATGGTTCAAAGCCAGCTTGGGCAGGGAAGTATGTGAGATTCTTATCTCCAGTTAACCACCAGAAAATCAGAAGTGGCTCAAAGTGGTAGAGCTAGCCTTGAGCAAAAAAGCTCAGGGAGAGCTGGAATGTGGCTTAGTGGTAGAGTGCTTGCCTAGCACGTATGAAGCCCTGGGTTCAATTCCTCAGTACCACATACACAGAAAAAGCTGGAAATGATGCTGTGGCTCAAGTGATAGAATGCTAATCTTGAGCACAGAAAGGCTCAGGAACAGTGCCCAGGTCCTGAATTCAAGCTTCAGGACTGCCAAAACAAAAACAAAACAAAACAAAAAACAGGAAGCTGGGCACTGGTGGCTCATGCCTATAATCCTAGCTACTCAGGAGGCTGAGATCTGAGGCTCATGGTTCTAAGACAACCCAGGCAGGAAAGTCCATGAAACTCATCTCCAATTAACCACCAGAAAACTGGAAGTGGTGCTGTGGCTCAAGTGGTAGAGCAGTAACCTTGAGCTGAAGAGCTCAGGGACAGTACCGAGGCCCAGAGTTGAAGACCCAGGAACAACCTAAAAAAATAAATAAATAAAAGCTCAGGGACAGTGTTCAGGCCCTGAGTTCAAGTCCCATGACCAACCAAAAAAAAAGAAAGAATTTTTTTTTTCTTTGTCCGTCATAGGGCATGAACTCTGGGCCTGGACACTGTCCCTCAACTCTTCAGGTCAAGGCTAGCGCTTTACCACTTGAGCCACAGTGCCCCTTATGGCCTTTTCTGCTTATATGGTGCTGAGGAATCGAACCCAGGGCCTTATGCATGCAAGGCAAGCACTCTACCACTGAGCCACCTTCCCAGCTCCCAAGAAAGAATTTTATTTTTTTAATCGGCCATGGGGCTTGAACTCTGGGCGTGGGCACTGTCCCTGTGCTTTTTGGCTCAAGGCAAGGGCTCTACCGCTTGAGCCACAGCACCACTTCCGGTTTTCTAGTGGCTTTTTGGAAATAAGAGTCTCACAGAATTTCCTACCTGGGCTGGCTTTGAACTGTGATCCTTAGATCTCAGCCTCCTGAGTAGCTAGGATTATAGTCGTGAGCCAACAGTGCCCAGCTTAAGAAAGAAATTTTTGTTGGACTTGAATACATGCTTTTAAAGCATATCTCTTCCATGAAGCTTAAGGAAGATTTCATTAATCATTTTCTTGTGTCATTTCTCCATGTTAAATTTCTTGAGAATAGATACCATGTTGTTCTTTTCTGAATTCTCAGTGCTTATTTGTCCTTTATTTGGTAAGTATATTAGTATTTATTGGTTGAGTGAATGAATGAATAAATTGGGAAGAAGAAGAAGGAAAAAGGGAAGAAGAAAATAAAGCTTAAGTGATTTGAAAGAAAAGAAAGTAGAAAAGAAAAAGAATGATTACAGTGAAAACAGAGTTAATTGTGACCTGGAGTACTATCATGGAACAAGTGGGAATCAGTAAGGGATGCTAAGATCAGATCTCAGCCATCAAAAATCGTCTCTTCAGATATCAGTAACATTATCTTGTCAAAGTCCTGTGACAAAACTCCAAGTTTGGGACTGGTAATGTGGCTTAGTAGAGTGTTTGCCTAGCATGCATGAAGCCCTGGGTTTAGTACCACAGAAAAATCCAGAAGTAGTACTGTGGCTCAAGTGGTGGAGTGTTAACCTTGAGCTGAAGAAGCTCAGAGACAGTGCCCAGATCCTGAGTTCAAGCCCCACGACTGGCAAAAACAAAACAAAACAAAAAAAAGAGTTTTCTATCATTGGTTGATAGCTTCATAAGATGAAAACATCTTTTGTGAAGTAGTAATGGTTACCTGGTCGGAATGGTGATTAACTCTGAACTGAATGAAGATTTAGAATGTACTCTCATGTGTGTGTGTTGTTGTTGTTGTTGTTGAACAGACTTGTGAATTTTTTACATCACAAAAAGTGGTATATAGTATATTAGTGTTGGTATTAATCATACAGATCTGAGTTTTTACCTTGTTTCCATTGCTTACTGGTTGTGTCATCTGAGGAAAATCACTAATGTTTTTAAATCTAAGTTTCCTCTTTTTTAATTTTACTTTTTGGGGTTTTTGAGTCAGGACCTCTCATGTGCAGCCCATACTGGCCACAAATTTAAAATCTTCCTGCATTTGTCCATCGAGTATAAAACACATTGAAAAGTCTTAGTAATATTGGCAGTTATTATCTTACCTAATAACAGACTATATCTAATTGGAATAGTCATTGTCTAAGTGCATGAATTTTTACCTTTTCCTCCTTTTCTTTTTATTCATTCTATAGAAGTCATTGTGCTTACAACCAAGGATGTCCAAAAGGCTGTGTGTTCAGAATTTAAAATGAAAATGAAGCTAGATATTGTGTGTATTCCTGATGAAGCTGACATGGGTACTGCAGATTCTCTACGCTACATATATCCAAAGCTTAAGGTGAAAATTATTATTTATTATTATTTTATTTTATTTTTTTGGTGTTGGTCTTGGGGCTTGAACCCAGAGCCTCAGCACTGTGCTTTTGTGCTTAAGGCTAGCACTCTAACACTTGAGCCACAGCTCCACTTCCACCTTTTTGGTAGTTAATTGGAGATAAGAGTCTCACGGATTTTCCTATTCAGTCTGGCTACAAACCACAATCCTCCTATCTCAGCCTTTGAATAGCTAGGATTATAGGGGTGAGCCACCAGCACCTAGCAAGAGGAAAAATTATTTCTTGACTTTGTTTATTGGTAATGAATAAAATCTTTCATCCTAAGAGCATTGCAATTTACAACACACAAACACACACATTCTGTTTTGCATACTCTGTTGCCCATATAGTCTACAACTGTTTTTTATTTTTATTATTAGGAAAGATTGAGATAGTCGGTTATCACTATCTGTTTTCTAAGTGCAATGTATTTTGGTCAGTGTAACCCTTCCATTATTCTTTCCCGTTTTTCCTTCTCTCATCCCTGCTCTCAAGTTATATAGTTCAAGTTTTACATAATGTACATTGAATATAATGACTGCATTTGCTCATCTTCCCTCCTTCCCTCCATTTCTGTATCCCCTTTTGTTCTCCCCCAAAAAACATGTTTCCACTTCCGATTATTCATTTTGATAAACAATTTGTTATTTCTTCAGAGGAGTTACACCTTTAGACTCCTCCCCTAACTATGCCATCCTTTAGTCAGTTTCTTTGTGTATATAAAACCTTGTATATTGGGGCTGGAAAGGTGGTTCAGTGGCAGAGTGCTTGCCTTGCATGCATGAGGCCCTGGATTCAATTCCTCAGCACCACATAAGCAGAAAAAGCTGGAAGTAGTGCTGTGACTCAAGTGGTAGAGCACAAGCCTTGAGATGAAGAGCTGAGGGACAGTGCCCAGCCTAGAGTTCAGGCCCCATGACAGCAAAAAAACAAAAAAAAACTTGTATATGTTATCATGTATATTATATTTTAGAGCTAGCTTCTACATATGAGAGAAAACATGTGCTGTTTTGTTTCTCTGAGCCTGACTTCAGTTAACGTAATTTTTTCTATGTCCATCTATTTCCCTGCAAATGACATATTCTTCATTTTTCTAATAGATGAGTAAAATTCCTTTGTGTATTTGTACCTTGTTTTCTTGATCTATTCATCTGTTGTAGGCACTTGGGCTGTTTCTGTAACTTGACTGTTGTGAATAGTGCAACAGTGGACATGGATGTACAAGTGCCTTTACTGTATCCTGACTTGTAATATTCTGGGTAGAAGCCCAAGAATACTATCGCTATATCATTGGGTAGTTCAAACTGCTTTCCAGAGTGGTTGTACTAGTTTATAGTCTCACCAAAGAAGAATAGGCTGAGGGTGTAGTCCAGTGGAAGGGCACTTGCCTAGCATTCATGAGGTCCTAGGTTTCATTCCCAGCACTTGCAAGGGGAAAAAAAAAGGATTCAAAGGATTCCATTTGCTCATAACAAGCAAAATTAATATGTAGTAAGAGAAATCTGAGTTGTTATTGACTATAGGTGAGAAATTGACTGGAAAAGAATTTTTAAAATTCCATCGGTCTCCTATGAGATATTTGAACTTTTAATCCTTTTTGATGAAGAAACTAACAACATATACATAGTAGAACCCAGTCTGTCCCGTTGCTTGTGGCCCATAAACTGAGACCACATATTATTCTAAAACTGTTGTCCTTTGGGAAAAATTCAGTTTTTATAATGTTACTGTATTGTTTGAATTGGGGCACAGACTTTCTCCTGCCAAAAGGCCTACTAATATTTTTCAGCCTGTCTTTGTAATGAAAAATAAATACTGGCCAGGCACTGGTAGCTCACGCCTGTAATCCTAGCTACTTAGCAGGCTGGGATATAAGGACTGCTGTTCAAAGCCAGCCCTGGCAGGGAAGTTTTTTTTTTTATCTCCAATTAACTACCAAAAAAGCTGAAAATTGAGCTATGGCTCAAGTGGTAGAGTGCTAGCCTTGAGCAAAAAAGCTCAGGGACAGCTCTGAGGCCCAAAGCTATCATTCTACCACTTGATCCACAACTCCATCTTCAACTTTGTGGTGGTTAATTGGAAACAAGAGCCTCACAAACTTTCCTGCACAGGCTGGTTCCAAATCATGATTCTAGATCTCAGCCTTGAGTAGCTAGGATTACAGGTGTGAGCCACTGGCAGCTGGCACAGTCAGAAACTCTTTTTTTTTTTTTTTCGGTCGGTCGTGGGGCTTGAACTCTGGGCCTGGGCACTGTCCCTCAGCTCTTCAGCTCAAGGCGAGCACTCTACCACTTGAGCTACAGTGCCACTTCCGGTTTCCCTGGTGGTTTATTGGAGATAGGAGTCTCATGGTCTCTCCTGCCCGGGCTGGCTTTGAACCGAGATCCTCAGATCTCAGCCTCCTGAGTAGCTAGGATTACAGGCGTGAGCCACCAGCGCCCGGCTACAGTCAGAAACTCTTAATTAAATATTATTGCATAAAACTTATTTAAGAGCTAGAAAAATCTAAAAGGATTCATGTATCTTTGCAAGTGTACAGCTTTTGTTTCTTGGTATCTTTACCCTAGTGAAGGTGATTCTAGTCTTCCAGGATGACTTTCTATCCTTTGCTAAGGCCATATGCTCAAGAGCCCTAGCTAAGTAAGGATGCAGTCTGTGATCAGCACATAAAACAAAGCTTGGGCCAAGTACCAGTGGCTCTGTTTTGTACATGGTTCTATTTTTTTACCTTATAAATAGAATGCAACCAGACATAGTTCATACTTATAATCCTAGCTTCTTAAAGAGACTGAGGTCTAAGAATTGCAGTTTAAAGCCAGCCCAGTCAGACAAATCTAAGAGACTGGCAGCTCCTATTAGCTAACAAAAAGTCAGAAGTAAAGCTACGTGCTGATAGCTTACACCTCTAATCCTAGCTACTCAGGAGGCTGAGATCTGAGGATCATGGTTGGAAGCTAGCCAGAGCAAGAAAAAGTCCATGAGACTCTTTTATCTCCAGTTAACCATTAGAAAACCAGAAGTGGTACTACGGCTCAAAGTGATAGAGGGCTATCCTTGAGTGAAAAAGTGCCCAAGCCCTACTACAGGCCAAAAAAAAAAAAAAAAGGTCAAACTAGAGGTATGGCTCTATGTGAGTAAAACTCCCTAAGTGAAAAAACAGTAAGACTCTGATTTCAAGGTCCAATACTAGCCCCCCAAAAATAAGTTATTCCTAGCCAGCCTGGGCAGGAAAGCAGTGAAACTCTTATCTCCAATAAACCACCAGAAAACCAGAAGTGGCACTGTGGCTCAAGTGGTAGAGCACTAGCCTTGAGCTGAAGAGCTGAGGGATCATGATCATACTCAGGCTCAGAGTTCAAGCCCTATGATATGACCAACAACAACAACAAAAAGAAATAGCTAACATGCTGCAACAAAGAGTAAACTATCCTAGTGAAATCCCTATCCTAGAGGCAGCTGATATAAAGATTGGGCATATAGTCTATTTTTAGATGTTCAAACAGCGAAATATTTTCAGTTGAGTATTTGATGTCTTTATCAAATTACAAATCTCTGTCATTCTTTCCTAGAACTTTTCATTTTGCCCAAGGTTTTGTTTTTGTCAGATTTGTATCTCTTTGGAAAGACTAAGTATAGTTTGGTAAAGGAAAGATCTGAGAACTTGGCCCTAACTTGCCTAAAGACTTTATTAAGTGGTGACTTTCATTCATTCTGATGAATGCTTTGGTGGGCTATGGTTGCCAGGAGGGCCCCCTTGATGTTGCCTTCTTTGACACTATTCTTGGCATAGTTAAAAGCTCATGGCTGAGAATGTGGCTTAGTTGTAGAGTGCTTGCCTGGCATGCATGAAGCCCTGAGTTTGATTCCTCAGTACCACATAATCAGAAAAGGCCAGAAGTGTCTCTGTGGCTCAAGTAGTAGAGTGCTAGCCTTGAGCAAAAGAAGCTTAGGGACAGTGCCCAGACCCTGAGATCAAGCCCCAGGACTGAAGAAAAGAAAAGAAAGGAAAGGAAAGAAAGAAACAAAGAAAGAAAAAGAAAAGCCCAGGAGTTACGACAATAAACAGCTTTGATTTAGGGGGTTTTTAGCTTTTTATTTCTCCAGAAAATCTCAATGGTGCTTTTCTTTTGATTATATTAAGTGTGTGTGTGTGTGTGTGTGTGTGTGTGGTGTTGTTGGTGTGTGGTGTTGTTGTTGTTGTTGTTGTTGTTTTGTCGGTCATGAGGCCTTGAACTCTGGGCCTGAGCACAGTCCCTCAGCTCTTCAGCTCAAGGCTAGTGCTCTACCACTTGAGCCACAGCACTGCTTCCCATTTTCTGATGGTTAATTGGAGATAAATCTCACAGACTTTCCTGCCTGGGCTGGCTTTGAACCGTGATCCTCAGATCTCAGCCTCCTGAGTAGCTAGGATTACAGACATGAGCCATCAGCACCCAGCATGTGTGTATTTTTTTTCCTATAAATTTGAAATGTTTTCATCTTACCTTCACACAGATTGCTACTTGTTGGAACTCTGGTCTGTAGGATGAGACTAATACAGCTCTGTACTTTGATAGTCAGAAAACTTATGATCTGGGCTAGGAAGGTGGCTAAGTGGTAGAGTGCTTTCCTTGCATGTGTGAGGCCTTGTGTTTTCTCAGCACTATAGAAGATAAAGCCAGAAGTGGCGTTGTGGCTCAACAGGTAAAGTGCTAGCCTTGAGCTGAAGAGCTGAGAGACAACGCCAGGCCCAGAGTTCAGGCCTCATGACCGACAAAACAACAACAACAACAAAACTTATAATCTTTGAGCCTAGTTTCTGTTTTTCCTTTTTTTTTTTTTGTCAGTTTTGGGGCTTGAACTCAAGGCCTAGGTGCTGTCACTGAGCCTTGTGCTCAAGGCTAACATTCTAGCATTTAGGCCACAGTGCCACTTCCAGTTTTTGAGTGGTTCATTGGAGAGAAGAGTCTCAGGGGACATTTCT